ATAATATTTATTGAACCCATATTTTACGTCTGTGACACTGAGCTCAGCAGTGCAGAGAATGAGAAATGAATTCAGTAGACTGTGTTTTGATATATTAACTTAAAACAGTGCTTCAAAATGATACTGGCGATATAGTGTATTAAGACACGTCACATATTAGTGCTGTTCACCTGATTTTGTTTTGGGATTATACAAGAATACCAAATTCATTTATACTCTCACATGTAAAAGTGCAAAAACAACTAGTATACTTTAAAATATGTAAAGTTATTTATTAGCGTTATATTTTTAACAAAGTTCTGCAGTTTTGAAATGTTCAGTCCTCCCAGGTGTCAAGGAAATGGAAATAAATATTTTTAACATTTGTCTCAGATGTATCTCACTGAAAGCTTAAAATAGTTAAGGCATACTATTAGAGGATCCCAGGCCCTTTCTGTCCTAGGTAATTGCAGTGATGAAAAAGCAGTTTGCAAATTCAGCTCATTAGTTAATGGTCAGGTAGAAACAGTGGAGAGAGAACATGTTAGCCCTGCATCCAGTAGCACCCTGTCCTTAGAGGTCTGTCAGCATTTCCACCCTGAAGCCTGGTGTTCAGGGTTCATAACTCCGTTGCTTTAAATAGCTTCAAGCTGAAACACTGCAGAAATTTTAAGTCCAGATGTATGTTTGAAAGCTAAAAGTAGTGCAAGACTGTTGCACTGTTTTAAGTTAGAGAACACTGGACTATATATTTACCAGAATCATATGTTTTTCTGGCAATGTTAAGGAAAGAAAACACATTTTTAGATATATGATCTATTGCTCATAGTTAATTCTGTATGTTTAATGATACCTTTCAGTATTTGTCATAAGCATGGTTTCAAAATGATGGAGCAATTTCTATTTGAAAATAATTTTTTCAACATCACTGGCCATTTTTCTCTTCATAAACAAGTATGCAGCTAGTATTTGACATAATGATTTGTATTTTCCTTACATATTTAATGATCACATTTTATGTTTGTGTCGTTTTGAATGGAATTATACCTAAACAAAGAAAAACAGGTTATTAAACCTGTTTATACTTACAAAACCTACTATGAATTGCTGTGCAAAATTGTGTAAACTGGAATAGATTTCAAGTTGTGTGAAGACAGACACATTTTTGTGTCATGCCTTTAAATGCAATGCAAATTATGTAAAGATAAACATTTTAGGATTGAATGTATAAAACTTACTGGTAAGACAATGGAAACAATTTTAGATGGAAAATAAATAAATAAATTTTTAGAAAACTTTTATTTGAAAACAGGCATGGGAAGATAGCCTTCATTATTTTCTCTCCATTGACATTGCTGTTTGTTTGCATCCTTTCAAAATTCCAGGATATCCATTGTCAGATGATCTAAACCAGCTTGCTAAATGGTGTATAAATTCCTGGCTTAAACTGAAATAATTTCCACCAGATTTCTCTTTGACATATATTTTAAAATTATGAAATGATATTTTTATATTGTATTTACTCTTTGCTGTATAATTCAGTCTGGTTTTTCTAAATTCTAGGTTAGATCCTAAGAAGTAACTCTAATGTTTGTGAAACTTGTTGATAGTTTATTTAAAGTTATCTTTAAATAATTACCAAAGGACTAAAACTTCCTTTTTGCAAGTATGCCCTTACCTTTCTTTTTATTCCAAAGAAAGATTTGATCAAGTTTTGTCTTGAAAAATAATTACATTTCAATTTTGCTACAAGTACAATGTGCCAAGTGATACTGGTCTTTAAGAGTAACTGATTGGTTAAGACTAGTCTTCTGTCCATGGAAATGTCATAGGCAATTTAAATTTAATATAATAAGACCACAGAAACAATTTTAAGAGTCTGAGTTAATTCTCCATTGCTCCTCTTTCAGAATAATTCACAGATTTAGTCATAGGGAGTCTCATAAAAAATTTCAATAGCATTTCTAGAGTTAAGTATCCGTTTACTTTATTTTGCACAAGCTACATATCATGTGATTTAAATGCTAGTTATAGCGAGGTGCATGAAATAAAGGAACTTCTTTCTCTAGTCTGAAATGCCAGGACACAAAATTACTTCCCTCTGCCCCGTGAAGTTTCTGGAATTTGTCAATTTTATATTTTAAAAGCACCTAGAAAAATAGCTGTTAAGGTTTCATCACAAATTATTCTTTGCAGAACAGAACTTTTTGTATTGGGTAATATGGAAACAAATTTTAATGCGTGCTAACTCCTCACTAGTTAAAAGGCGATTTTTGACTGCTCTCTACCCCTGAAAATGTTTTTCATTGCTTGGGTTCCGTACAGATGAAGTGTGTAAAAAATTCTTGATTCTTTTGGTTTTTTTTTTTTTTTTTAGATAAACACAGTTGAGAATCTCCAAGGGAAACTTTTTAGCTACAGAGATCTACTTTTTTTCTTTAAACACTCAAACGTATAATTATACTTCTGATTGATATAAAGTCAAATACAGTCCTCTTTAGCCCCCTCCCTCTTTTTCTCCCTCAGAAAAACATTAGGCAATCTGATTTGGTAGAGTGAATAGCAGAAAAAAACCAATATATTTAGCTATTAAAATAGAATTCAGCCGTAACAGGAAAAGTTGTCACTATATCTTGTTAGTTAGCTTTTTTTTCCCAAGCCAAATTGTAAGCCTTGTAGAAGACTTGTGATTACCTATGTGTTTTGTTATTAAATGTAATATGTAAAATCTTCCAATATTTAATATAGCCCATTATTATGCTGCTTAAGCAAAGAAAAATAGATTTATGTATTTCACTCTTAGGGAACTTTTCTTTCATATTTTCCCATATTGAATCAATTTTCCTTTTCTCCTAGCTAAAAAAAAAACCCATTATGTTAAAAATATGCAGTAAAATAATGATGTCCCAGAGCTCTTAAAAATCTTTATATTGGGGCAGATTTCTTCACTTTTTCCCCCCTGAAATTTAGCCAGCCGGGAGTGTGACCCATCGGCAGTCTTCTTGTATCTCTCAGCAACCCTCCAGATCATCTCAGGCCATAAAGTGCAGAATTACATATTCAGTTGGACCCTTTTAGGATGCTTATAAGTAAAAGCCTATGTTTAGCACACAGCCGACTTGGAGCAGCAATTAGCCTCCTCATCTTATAAAAAGTACATCGTTGCAATTATTCTCAATACTTATATAGTGTCTACTACATTACAGACTTTAAAAAATGATTTCCAATTTATATTGGAAAACTGTGGCTCTGGGAGATGAAGTTACTTGAGATCATAGCAGATGTGTAACAGAGGTGGGGAAGAAGTGGGGCCTCTTGATTTTTGGTGCGTTAATTCTCTTCTAAACAGTACAACTTTTCTGCCTTCATTAATACGCTTACTGGTTCCATATTTACTTTGACATAGAAAGCCACACAGCAGGTGTTAAAAGCACAATATGCTGAGTGTAAAAAATGTCAAACATTCAGATGAATACCGGCAAACAGAGTCAGTTATTTCAGTATTTTTCAAATGTGCACATTCTTGGCATGGTGGATTCAAAAAGTTGAAATGTGTCTGGCCTCCATCAGGGGCAGAGCATTACCTGTGTTCAGTAGCCCCTCGAGGCACTAGATGAGGGACGCAGGAAGGAAGTTGTGTTCTCAAGGGATTTACCCTGGACCCGGGAGACTTCTCAGATTGAACAGAGTAACCGTATATTCTGGGTAAAGGATCTTCGGCATGATTCCTTCTCCTCTGAGACGAAAAAAGGTGTCAGAAAATGAGTTTGGAGCCAGGGCATATTGCTGCTAGCGGGGTTTGCTGACTCAACCTTTAACTGGTTCTCTCACTGACGACTGGCAGTGGAAGTGGTGCCCTTTCACTTATTTATTTCAAATATTTATCGATCTCTTACTATGTGCCAGGCACTGCTTTGGGAGCTGGGCATATGGTGGCGAGCAAGACAGATGAAGGCCCTTCCTTCATGTAGCTTCCAACCTAATATAGTCTCGACTCCTATGAGTGAGCCTCACCGCTCTGGCTAGTGTATCAAAAGGAGTAGACAGATCATTCCTATGTGGACATTGAAATGAGGACCATCTGAGTACAGTGGCATGCTACAGAAGTGGGTTCTATACTTTAGGGAACATTTTAGGATTCTAGCACTTCGAATAACAAAGTACTAAAGAAGGACTGGAACAGAGAAACAGCCTAAGAGAAAAGGAAAGATAGAGAAAATATTGACAAGTTTTTGTTGTTGTTGTTGTTATTATTTGTTTGGCTGTTTCCCTGGCTCGAGCAGAGGGTGGAGTGGAGGGGCATTGGGCTAGGGTTCATGGGTGGGAGAAATGCACCTAGAATATAGTGATAGTGTCTGTTTCATCACACGATAAGAAATCTGATTTAATGAGAGTTATGTACAAATTGTACTGGGAGCATGAATTAAAGGCTTAGGTTTGCCTTGTGGAATTGTTGACAAAGGAGGGAGCAGCACTAGGAGTAGAAGGCTGAGGGTAATACTTGCCAGACAGGCAAGCACACATGGGTCTTGTCGTTGGAGAGGAGTGGGCTACTGTAGCTGGAGCCATTGCTTAGTCACCGCAAGGGCATCTGGAAGTCGAATGAGGGAGAGATGGAAATCATCTGAATGTTCCAGGAGCCTGGCAGTTAGTCGAAAGAAAGGATGTCAAGGGGCAGGGCCGTGGTAATGGATTAAGAATAGTGCGTTTTGTACATGACAGCAGAGACACTGCACCAACATTGCTCATCAGAGGCACCCACTTTGTGAATTAGCCGACCCTGGTTCAAAGTGTGATCCCTTGCCTTGCAGCAGGGAAAAGGTTTATTAGCCTCAGAGGCTGTTTGTTCTGGATCCTGACTTTCCTGAGTTAATCCGCTGCAGGTTGACTGTTGACGATAAGGAGGCAAGTGTGTCATTCCAAGATGGCAGATGGAACAAGACAGAAGTTTGGCAAGGGTGTATTTTCTGTCGATACCACTCATTTGTCAGTGATCATTTTCAGACTGTTATATATGTCTATTCTGTACCTAGACTTTAAACTTCTGGATGGCTTTACACATTCTGCTGGGTCCACTGCAGAGCGAGCGTTCAGTAATTATTTGCAGTGTGATTGACAGCTGAGTATCCAGCCCACAGTAAGGAGGTGAAATGTAGTTCTGGATACCTCACCATATTTAGGCTTCTTTGTAGTCAGGAGCTCTAAGGTTTCCCCTAACTGTCTTCTCCCATAGAGCTGCCCACACCTCAGGGCGCTCCAGGCTGCAGACAGGCGGTGCCTTATTATGTGCAATGCAGTCTGCGGATGGGGCGCATCAGCTTTCCTTCTGTGGCGTAATTCCTATGGACAACTTAACATGGGGATTTAATAAAAAATGTACATGTATGCTGTGAAGAATCCAACAACAAATGAAGGGAACTTCTGCCTGCCTTTGAAATGGGTGGACCCTGTAACATTGGTCTGTTTGAAGTGGCATCCTAACCCATGTGCAGACGCTTCGTTCCTGTCTGCCAGGACGGGCCTAGAGCCCTGAGTACTGATAAGATGCATCATTTACAGTGAGAATGTAGTCTCAGTTTTTACGCTTTTCTGAGGTGCCATTATTGCTGCTGTGTTTCCTGTTTTATGTAGGTGGTAGCCCTCGGAGAGGTACCAGATGGGACTGTGGTTACTGTCATGGCGGGTAACGATGAAAATTATTCTGCTGAGCTCCGAAATGCCTCTGCTGTTATGAAAAACCAAGTAGCAAGGTTCAACGATCTGAGATTTGTGGGCCGGAGTGGACGAGGTAGGTCTCTGATTTTTTAATACTGATAATGGACTAAACACATTAGGATCCTCGGATGAAATGTAGGCTAGTCTGTGTACAAATCAGCACCTTCTACTGAATGGAGTTACTGAAGGTTTTATTTAAATCCATCCAGATGAAGTTGAGTGTTTTAGTGAGTGCTCAGGCCTTTTTCATTTTCTTTTATGATATCGAAAATTCAAACAATGTTTTCAGAAGAACGAGTTCCACTGTGTATGAGCATATAAGGTGGAGGGAAGAACAGTTGGAGGTTCCAGTTATGAGTTTTGGGGAGCCAAGTAACTGAGCAGATTCAGTGGCAAAAGGGAAAGAAAAAAGGAACAGCACTGGATCAATTTCCTGGTAATATCAGTTTTGCTGTAAGTTGTAGCAAGGGCAGCTAGCATAATGCTCTTCACTCATCACACATGTTACCTCTATATGATTTAATTTACTCCTATAAGAACCTATTTAAAAATTATGTTTTTTTTTTACAGAGGCCTTTCATTTGAATAAGTGAATAATATGTTACTTATGTTAGAATGACTACATAGAGTTGCCTAGACAGATGAATGATCAGGACTCTAAATATTTCCACGTTAGTTAAGAGTTTCCACCCCACTCAAATATTAGGAATCCTTCAAAAGATCATAAAACAGAAAATAACCCCTTTTAGGGTTTTCATAGCTGTTTCATAAAAGGGGTTAATGTTTTTTTAAAAAGCCTCTAAGGAAACCAGTATTTTGGCTTTTATTTACTTATTCTGTAGAGAGACTTTTAATAGTCAGTCATTAGAAGTATTATGTTCATTTATTTATTTATTGAATCTAATATTTCCATTTTTAAGTATTTCGATAAGAAGATAGAAAATAGACCCCTTTGGAACGTGGGTGAAATAAATTATAAAGACCTATGGAATTACTTCAACCCAGGTTTGAATTAGGAAATGAGAGACATCAATTTTTAAACCATGTCCAATAACTGCACTTTAGTTTGGATCAGATGTCAAATTATTACCATTGTAAAAAGTTGATAAGGGAAATTTAAGCAAGCCTGTTTCCGATGAGTAGTTTTAGTTTACTTTCTAGGAATAGGGCCAAGAAGTTGTACTTTTAACTTAAAAAAATGATGCATGCTAATGAGATACTGTCACTGAAAGGTTTGAAATAAAATGAGGCTCAGAGCCTCTGGTAGAATCAAAACTTTAGGGGTTATCTCTGCATCAGGTTTAGTTCACGTTCATTAAAAGAAAAAAAAAACACATCCTATCTCACTGTTGACTGATTAGGTGTGAAGTGTGTACGTGTGTTCATTCTTTTTTTTTTTTTCTTTCTCAGTTACTGGTGCAGGCCCACAGTACAATGAAAGTTTCTCTTTCTTCTAGTAAGAATCAAGAAAAATTTGAACATGATGATTTACCTGTATGCTCTGAATTACATTTTCTCCTTATGTAGTATTACTTTGTTTTGATCTAGAGTAATGAATTTTGGTATTTAAAAGACCAGGCGCTATACTTTATTTTACTTTATAGATGCAAGCTAGTGTTTTCATTTATCTTGCTTTTGTATTATATAGATGCTGCATAACTTTTCTCTGATCAATTTGAGTAGAAACTATGGCAAAGTGATAGTGTACTTTGTAAACCCTCAACATATTTATTTAAGAAACTTCAAAGAGAAACAAAGGGTGTGCACTGTTTTACTATATTGGCTTTCTGAGTTTTGGCTGGTTTCCCAAATAGCAATTTTTATATTTAAAAAAAAGAGACAGACTTAACTGCTTGCAGACTTTTCACGCATGGAAGATGAAGAAAGCTTCTTTTGATGAAGTGTAATTATGTCCAAACAGAGCTGACCCCCTCCCCCTATATTTCTTATGATCTTAACTGAAGAAAGTAGGATTTTTCCTTTGAAGCAGCCGGGACTTGGTGGAGGATCTGAAATGCTACAGTCTGCTGCCAGAGGCAGGATGGAGAAATTGGTCCAGACTTGTCTTCGAGACTTAGATTGGGGGTAGGGGGGAGCTGGTGGAGAAAGGAAGAAAAATTGATTTATCACTAATAATAGATTTTTATATCACAACATTAACATTACATGAAAGGAAAGAGTAATATCAAGCCGAAATGGAGAAAAAAAGGACACTGATAAGAGATACCACTCTTTGAATAAAAGAAAAAATGGGTCAGTTCTTCAGTGGCAGGAAACCCTTTAACCTGCCTGTGTAGCTGACCTGCTTTCTTACAGGCTCTTTCCAGCTTCCTCTTTGACTGTCACACTTCTACACTTCTCTTACAGTTTTAAGTCTCGGTCAACATGCTGCTACCTTTGTATTTTTCCCCCAGCTATTTAAATTTTCTATTTTCAATAGCATTAAAAAATAAAAAACACCTATTCCTTAAATGTTACATTTTTTCTTTTCAGTGGTAGGAATAGAAGCTCTCAAGAAACTGGAAGACAGTTTTAGATCGAGAAAGGAGTCCATCACTACTTTGGCATTACAGGTTCTCTGATGACCACAACTTTTGGAAGTGCTTTGGAATAAAAATAGAACATTGGTGAAACTTGTATTGAGTTAGGAGTGGCTTATATTTTTTTAACCGTCTTTTCCTTTTTCTCCTTTGTATTTTTAAACAGAAGTATTTATTTATTCATTTTTTGAGGAGGGAAGTAATTAGGTTTATTTGTTTATTTTTTTGATGGAAATACTGGGGATTGAACCCAGGACCTCGTGTATGTTAAGCACACACTCTACCATTGAGCTGTACCCACCCCCCAACCCCCTGCCAAACAAACATATTTAAAATGTCTTTGGTCCTTAAGTTTTCTTGGTGTGCTTCCTCACTCTTGACATTAAGCTTGTTGCTTTTAATTTACAAGCATTTTTAAGCACCTACAGTGTATGGAGCATGGCACTTTGTCAATGTAGGATACAATCCCTGCTTACAGTCTTTACTTTCCTGACTATTTCTGACAGCCTCTCAGGCTTGGCTGGAATTGTCCTTCAATGACAGTTTCTATGTGTATCTCAGAAAATATATGACTTGAGGACATATTGCAAAACTAGTTCCTAGATGAAGCCAAGAATACTACAATTAGTTGACTAATGAGTGCTAGCTCCCTCGGTGAGAGCCTGCATTTTTATCACTTATGGAAAGTAGTAAACAATGGGATTTGGAAAAGTTGGTTTTTCTTTTTAAATTTAAGAAAGTCTCAAATACTCATACAAACATTTGACTTAGGAAGTGTATTACTGTTTATAGGGTGAAGAACAAATTACCTAGTTGAGTGGTAGTTTCTGGAAGTTTCTTGAACGTTATGTCCATTTTCTTTCTAAGGGGGCAATAAGGAGTGGATGAAACCTCCGTGGTCTTTGTTTTAGTTGCTAAAGTACTTCTTGCTCCTAGGATTTGATTTTAGAAGGCCACACTCATACTTGCATGCTTGTTTCCTTTCCCCTAAAGCCACCTCTTTTCATAAGAAGTCTTTATAGGAAACTGGTTCTGCTTTGAACATTTAGATGCTTTATACTTACAGGGTGAATTTCAGGTTTGGCGTTTGTTCCTACACGAGCTGTTTGTCTGAACTTGGGAGAAGCGTCTCTGCCTTTTAATATCCTAAGTACATTGTTAAAGTCTCAAATAGAAATATTCTCAGAACCAGTGTGGATAAATTCAGGGACAGTGTCTCTAGCAGGTTACTTAGAGTCATTAAGGATAACTGAGCTGTGTGCATCCTTGATTTATTAAGATTAGTGCCATGGATGACAACTGCCTTCCAAGCACCACCCTGAAGCCACTGTTAGAAATGCAGTCCTGGCTCACAGACCATCGATCCAGCCTATCATGGCATCTTTTTATGGTTTAATGCAAATTAACTTCCAATCTAGGGATTCAGCCCCTTCATTCCTCCAGATCTTCCCGTTGTCTTAAGGTCCTGATCCTGATCCAGTGGCTTCCCACCCAACTTCCTAGTCTCCATTTCTGTGGACTTGCAGTTTTCCATAACCAGTTTAGACTCCTGGCTGCCTTATTCTTCTGGTTAGTCTTACTGTTTATAATAAATCCTCTGTTCCCTAACCAGACAATTAAATTACTTAAATCCATGTAACTTTTGATATATAATGGATAAAATATGATCTATCAATGACACTTTAAGGGTAGATGATTTCAACATTCTGGCTGACATATCACATTAGTGGATTTATATTTGTTTCTTGGGCCGATGGAGCTGTTTGGGATACATGTAGCAATAAATCTCCTATTAATTTTTTAAAGTATTCTCTGACAAAGTTAAAAAGAAGAACATTAATTTTAGGGCCTGGAAGACCCAAGTTCAGATCCTGATTTTTCCCATTTATTAGTTGTGTGGTTAAATTACTAAGGTTCTCTGGGCTTCAGTTTCCTCATTTGTGAAATGGGGGTGATAAACCCAACTGGGTAGGAGTCTATGACATAAAGTGTATAAAGCGACTGGCACTTAACAGTTTTCTAATCAATGTTTATCTTTCCCTCTACTTTCCACCCCCCAGTTTCTCTTTCCTCTTTTTCACTTGGCCCAAGTATAGCCAAAGAGATTTAAAACTGTATATATTGAGTAACAAATGATATGTGTCTTAAATGTATTTTAAGAACTTACATGGTTTGGGTTGAAAAGAAAACCCATTCACTAGACTTGACAGCCAAAGACCTGTTCTACATTAAGCCTTGTATGTAACCTGTTCCGTATTAAGCTTTGAAAAGATTGCATTAAAGTTTGCGTCGCTACATATTGTTTAAGATTTGTGTTTTGATTTAATACCCTCAGCTTTCGACAAAGGGAAAAACAGTCTCTGACCAAAAAACAAAGCAAAACGAAATGAGCTTTGTAAAGATCTGTTACAGGAGCAGGCTAAATGAATGCTCTGGCCCGAGATTGCTGAATGTTTTATTGAGTCACTGTTTCACGCCCACCTTTTCCTGTCTTGTAACAGTTTGCAGTTTTGACTATCTGACATGACTAACCGTTGCAAATCTAACTGATTACAACTGTCAGTGAGTCTGGGTAGCAGAGTCTGGTATCTTTAGGAGAAAGCAAACATCCAAAGTCGGCTCCCAAACTTTTCTCTGTCCCCCCACATTCATCACCTTTAGTTCATTAATTTGAAACATCAGATGTAATATTTCAGTGAAGCACACCCTCTGCTAAAAGCAAGAATTCATATTTACATTGGAAGATGTCATGTACATTTAGCAAAAAATAAGTCACTGTCGGGGAGTTATTTCAGGATTGCTGCTAAGCAAGGATGTATGTGAGGGAAGGGGGGGTCAGGGAGGAGAAAAACTTTGTTCCAGCAACGATGAAATCATCATACCACAGGCATATTAAGGCCAGGACAGGAGACACTGGCTCCTGTTAAAATGATTCCCAGAAGAACCTTCCTCTTTCATCTTCTTATTGTAGTGCAGTTAAGCAAATGAAATGCTAGAGCCATGTGAAGTAAATAGCATAATCAACAGTGATTTACTATTGTTCTCTCATGGGGTCATGACCTAATCCTAAATAAAGACTTCTAAAATTGTCTGGGCTTGGATGTGTTCCTGATGTTGGGGAAAACTGTAACGGGAGAGAACCCTCTTCAAGTGGACCTGAGTTTTTGTTTTCTTTACAACTCTTGCTACAGAGCTGCTCTATTGTGGAACTGGAGCCTTCTCCGCCAGTGCTGGCACGAAGGTGATGTTCCTAGCACTCAGCAAGCTTAGTGACTTCCTAAAGTGGCCACCCGAGCGTTTCTCGTCAGAATAAGGAGTCCTGACCCTCACCTTCGTTTTGTTACCTCTTCAGAGATGCTTAAATGCAATCGGGACATCTGTTCTGCTATTTTGTCATCAGTACTGTCTTTTTATATTTACTGTGAATTTTCCCCTTTTCCATCCGCAGGCAAGAGTTTCACCTTGACCATAACTGTCTTCACAAATCCTCCCCAAGTAGCCACCTATCACCGAGCTATTAAAGTCACAGTGGATGGACCCCGGGAACCCAGAAGTAAGTGCTTGCCTTCCTGTTGGAAATGGGAACAGAGTTTGCGGAGACCCTGTGGGGAACTTAGCCCAAATAAGTTGAGAATGCTGCTTTTATATAAATAGTTTCTTTGCAGAGTTTGCTATTGATACATATTTTTCTGAGGGACAGTGAGGAGAACTTCACAGTTAGTAGAGAATCACATTACATTTTTAACTTTTGCCACAAAATTGCTAAGACCCACATCACTTTGTGACTTTCCGTCACTGTAACACTTTGCTAAACGTTCCGCTCATCCACCGTACACGGTAGACAGACAGCGCGGAACAGCCCCGTGAGAGCTGAGAGAGAAAACAATAAACTGAGAAATCCCGACCTTAGTCAAGAAGCATCCGCGTACGTTTCCCATGGTCTAAGAATGTGTTTTAACTTTTTGGCTCGCCCACTCAGTTCCCTTTGTAAAGAGCACACTGCTTAATTACAAAGAATTTATTTGCAAATGATAACTTGCTTGATTGTTACAGCACTGTTGTTGGGTCATGTTCTAGTAATTGTCATAGATCTTCTCTTTTAACAGATAGAGACAAACCTTGGTTTATTTGTCTGTCTGGACATCCAGAAGGTGTAGCCAGCATCCTTTAAGACAGTGCCCATAATCCATTTGGGTTAAAAGGCATCTCCCTCTCAATCTAAATTAAAACAGGTTTACTCCTCCCTCCCCCTAAAACTGATCTGAACATCCTCACTGCAGCAGTATTCAAATATATGTATAGATTAAAGATCATTGGACACAGACAACATTAAAAATTCTTTGCCAGCGGAAACATCACACAGAACTCTGTCTTTGATGAGTGAATACACTGGCGTCCCAGCCATTGTCTTTTAAGAGTTTAATTTGGTTTGTGGTGGAGGTAAAGCTGGCAGAAATGTTGGTTATATAACGAGACACCTGCCTGGACAGTGAGAGAGGCATCGCTTTTCTTCCCCTAAAACCGAGAGGAAGGGCTGGTGAAGCTCTGCCTCTGCCCGGGCAGCCTGGTCCTCAGCGGTGGGAACGCAGTTGCCCTTCCGCCCCTCTTGTCACTGCTTCTTCTTCTCACGGAGGCTGACTGCTTGTCTGAACTAGGGAGGTTTCCTGCCTCAAAAGCCAGTCTTTGAGGTTTTTCTCTTCTCCTCCTTTCACGTGTATGGCGTTCTTCTAGGATCTCAGCGTCGGGAGTGCTGGCCCTGTCCCTTCAGGTTGAGAACGTCCTGTTAGGTGGTGGCCACACACAAGTCATCAGGGCCAGTTGACATGCAGTGCAGGGGATGAGATCAGCCCAGGTCTTTCTTGCCTGGCTTGGGGTTCTGCCTAACTTTTTCTGGACTGCTGTCCATCTGGGAAGATGCCTTAAGATGAAAGTCACCTCCTAACATTTTATCTCAGTAGCTCCTGCGATCCTGAAAAGTGGGGACTTCCATTTTGCTGATGCGTAAAGCAGGATGGTAGTTTTTAAACATTTAACACTACTAACTTATCTTGTAAAGATGTTTCCTGCTGATCTCAGCTGCTCTTCTCAGTTCTTGGAAAAACCATTATTGTTTGTGTGTGTCTCTGTGTGTGTGTGTGTCCAGATGCTTGCGAGCTGATGCTCAAAGTTGATGGCTGGGAGAGGAAGCAAAGAAAGGTGGGCTCTGCCTCATTCTGAGAGTTGTGACAAAAGTGAGGAGGCAGAGTAGCTTTGGGAAAGTTACTTCTCTTCCAAGCGAGGGTAGTGTGTTATCTCACTCCCAGGAGGTTGCTGGCAGAATTAATCACTTAATAGACTCACTGCCCTGCAAAGGCAGAGAAGTACTCTGAAAGCAGTAAGGGTTATGGGTAGATGGGTGGATGGTATGTGTGTGACCTGAGTTCAGGCTTTGGGTGCTGCTGAGGGTGCAGAGGGTGGAGGGGGAAGCAGATACAGATCTCGAGCGGCTGACCACCACCCTAGGTCAGCCCGAGGATCATTTCTCACGAGCCAGAAACACCCAGGAAAATGTGATGTCATTTCTCTGACCTCACGAGGTGACTGGCTACACTCAGTGTCTGGATATAAGGTTGGGCCTGGTATCAGTAACATCTTAATCCTACAACCTGGATTCTCTGTCCTGGATCTTGGCCTGCTCTTGGCCCTGCTCTTGACCATCTGGGCATTGAATGCTTGTAAGTATAGCACTCTTCTCAGTATGGTTCTTTAATTTTGAGACTCCCAGGACTTTCCATTTTCTTCAGCTGTGAACATAACAGGATTTTGATTGATTGGTGTGTATATGATGTTAAATGGAGAATCCTTTAGAACGTGGGTTGGCAAACTTTTTCTCTGAAGTGCCAGATAGTAAATGATTTCAACCCTGTGGGCCGTTTGATCTCCATCAGCAGTACTCAGCTCTGCCACTGTAGCTCAAAAGCAGCAGTACATACACGAATGGTTGCGGCTGTGTTTCAGTAAAACTTTATTTACAAAAACAGGTGGTGGGGCAGATTTGGCACACAACTTTTAGCTTACCAACCATCACTCTAGGTTTCAAAGTGGCTAATTTTATCGATGGTTAAACAGAGAAGGGCTTTAGAAAAAGGCTTTCCTTGGGGGAGAGAAAAAAATAAAGAAGACAACAAATGCAATTGTTTTAGCATCCTCTCCCACAGAATTTTAATTCTTTAAGTAGTGGTTGTCATCAAAATAGTGTACATCTGTTTATTACTGGAGAGGTTTGAAGGAGCTGAGTATCCTGTACTATAGATTCTTATTCATGGACTTTCATTCCTTCCTCTGCAGATCATGGTGTATATTGGAAAGGCTACTTCTGGTGGATGAGCTCTTTGAACAAAGACACGTTCTGGGTTAGCTGACTGGGTCTTTGCTCAGCATACATAGTGATTAAGGGTGTGGCTTTAGTGTCAGGCTTGTCCGGATTGAAAGCCCAGCTCCCTCATTCACCAGTTGTGTGGTGGTAGTCAAGTTACCTAGCTTTTCTCTGCCTCAGTTTCCTCATCTGTTAAAGTGAGACTAATAATGATGGCATCTTTCTCATCAGCTGCTGCAGAGATGTTAAATGATGTAATGTGTGTAGAACGCATAGCACAGTGACTGTCACGTACAAGTGCTTATTAAGCGTTAGCTATTACTATATCAGTTTCCTTCAGTGTCAGACGTTTGCTGTAGTTTTGCTTATAGCATGCTTCCAGGAAATAGATACCATCTAGATTCTGTTCTCTAGGGTAATTTTTTTTTTCTTGCAGATGGCTTTACTAATTTCTGCTCCTTAGTAAATGACACTAGTAAGTGTTATAAATTGTGCCTGAGCAGGTGTTCCTGCTGCCTGGGGACAGCTGTGCAGAACTGGTGATGAACACAATTTGCTTGTGGCAAAGTCCAAGAGAGGATGCTGTGACACTAGTGCCCCTCTTGGAGGCCCTGCTTATCAGCACATCTGCCAAGACTCGCTTTTCACTCACAACCCAGAAAGGTTTCCTCCTTCTGTGTTTTCTGTCTCTGGCAGCTGAACCGGTGCTGTACGTCACAAAACAACTCCTTCTCTTAATAGACACATCTGGCGTTGGCAGTTGGACTCACTTCATAAGAGCACATGATCATCACTCATTACAAGATTAAAAAGTACCCCATGGCATCATTGATGTTTTCTAACTTTGATCTTTTGCAGTTGTGATTCATCTCAGTTATAAAACTTCCCTTTAAAGGAACATAGCTGATGACTTATTAGAACCTTCATCTTAAGTAGCGTAAACACGAAAATGGTGCACATCTTTACAGAATGCCATTTATTCTCTCTGCCAGCTTATCATTTTAAGACATGACATCATACTTAAGATCCCAAATTTGTAAGTCTCGTGTTTAGGCAAGGCGTTTTGACCTCCTGTTGGCAAGTTAGCTCCGAAGAGCAACTGCCGTGTGTTCGCCAGCAGGAGAAGCCAGTGGAGCAGCAGCAGCGGCAGTGATGCGTTTGGAGACCTAAATCTTTTAAACATCGGTTCCCATTAGGATCCTTGGTTCCCTTTATGCACTTGGTTCCAACTGATTTTAAGAATTTCTCCAGCAAGGTGAAATCTTGGTTAGCAATGTCATATTCTATTGTAGTGGTTCTGAGTGAGGGAAGAGAAGTGATGGAAAAAGTATTACTGGCTGGGCAGAGGATGGAAAAAGTAAATCACCTTACATAGAATCCTTTCAGTTCTCTTGCTGCTTTTTCAGTTACCTGTTGCTAAATAACAAAGCCATCTGCAAACACAATGGCTTGAAAAAACAACCAGTTTATTGCTTCTCGTGGTCCTGCAGGTGGGCTGGGATTGCATCCGGACGGTTGCTCTGGGTTCTCGCTTGGGTCTTTCGTGTGGCTGCAGCAAGACGGTGGCTGGTGCTGGAACACGCGTGATGGCTTCAATCCCGGGTCTGGTGCCTTAGTGGCATGGCTGGAAGGATGGGACAGCTGGGCCTTTCTCTCTCTCCTGTGGTCCCATCTCTCCCTCTCCACGTGGCCCCTCTGGCAGAGTCTCATTTTCTGCATGGCAGCTCAGGGCTCCCTCAGATGCAAAAGTGGGAGCTTTTAGGCCTTTGTAAGGCTTCTTCAGAACTGGCATGGAGTTACATCCTCCATACTCTGTTGGTTGAAGCAAGATACAGGTGCAGCCTAGATTCAAGGGGAAGAAGCCTCACAAGCTATGCCTGATGGGTGCAGTGGTTCCCTGGACCAACTTCTATAAGTGCCTAGATGGTCAATGTCATTGTTGCAATGGGAGAAATAATTTTTTGATGTACCATCTCCTGAAAGGTCTCTTGACTTTCTAATCTGGGAGACAAGTTTCAGTGATAGTAGCTTTGCACTGAATTGGACCAATTTGGTAATTTTCAGATGAATTAAGGGTGAGTGTTACCTTGTGGTGCTTGGTATTAGCAGGTTCATACCAAGCCAAGCCCCGTCACTACTCATATGAGGGAAGAACATTATTAGATGCTTGAACATAAAGAGGTTATTTGCCTTGCCTG